CCAGGTCTAAAACCAAGCAAGTACATCCATACGCCCAACCCTATGTGATTTCTGTAAAACTAAGACAACTGTAGTTTTTCAATGAATCAAAGTACTCTATGACAACAAGACTTTAAACGGATCCTTGCAATACCCCATGATGTTGCACGGGAGTAGGGCAAAAATACTTGAGCAGTCAATCAACTGGTGCCTTCACCCCCTAAAAGATAGAAAGGCAGAGAAACCATCAGCATTTTTGCCAGAAACGTATATTCAGAAAGGGGTGCTCAGTCTTCATGCCAGTTTTTGATGCTGGTTCTGATTACTTCGGAAAGAACAGACAGCCTCCAATGTGAAAGCTTCCCCTCACAGTACCTTTAAAAAGAGGCTTTTTAAAAATAACTAGAACACACTAATAGTTACACCCAAACAACCAGGGTTTGAATGTAACTTTCCTGCGTCCCTGGTTGTTGTTGTTGTTGTTTTGAAAGGTAATTAATTTGTTACTGTGTTAGTTCACAGAGTTTCCAGTTCTGATTTTTCCAAACGCCATCCAAGGTCTGAGCATCTAACTGGATCACCCAAAGCACATAAAACAGACATACGTACGCACCTCAGAAAGGGAACATACCATTTAGAGTGCTGCTCTAAATGGTTTGTTCTGCTGGTTCCCTCGACTGCTGGCTGCCACTGGGAGCTTCACAAACCAAAAAGCCCACCAGCAGGATCGAGACCACCGCCGCTTCTGCCTGCCGTGGAAGGAAGAGGCCCGGGTCTCACCAAATGAGAAGCAGCCACAAATTAATTACCAACCACAGGAGAGCAGGGAGCCAAGGCAGCAAAGGAAGAGCTTCCCTCCTCCCGAACTGAGGTTATTGTCTTGCAGACTCCCCCTGAACCAGCCGGCAGATGGGGAACATCTTTGCTCTTCCCTGCAAATGCAAAGCGTCCCTGGGGTGCCGCTTGATGGGGAACAGACGGAGCTACTTACCCAAAGATCCTGCCTCCTGTAACCGCTAGCTTTGCTCTTTGATCTCCTCTCCAGTTGCACGCTGTGTATCCTCCTCCCCCCCCCAAGGAAATCCTCCTAAGGATACCCAGAAAGGGCACCGCACCACTCAAGTGGACAGAGAGTGCTTCAGATTTAACCACCAGTGGCCCCCAAGTCCGGGAAGCATCATCTCATGGGCGCACCGTCTCAAGAGATTTAATCTCCAGGGTGGGAGATTCGTGGGTGCCGACAAGAAAGGAACCAGGGCTCAGGAACGGCTCAGAGGCTCAAGGAGAGTGTGGCAGGAAGCCAAAGGCAGGAGGAGATGCCATCCCTGTGCCACTCTCTGTGGTGACAGAGGAACACACACACGCACCCTGTGTGCAGCAAAGCCCACTTACAATCCTGGGCATCCGTTGAAAGGCACTCAAACAGCCACTTACAAGGCTGGGGGAGACGGGAGGTTTACCGACGGCTCTCCAGTGGAAGCAAAGCACTCCTGCCCATCACCGCTGGAGGAGAGGAACACCACTTCAAACACCTCCGGTTTTCCTGCAGCGGCTGAGCACGGTCGGCTGTGGCTTTGCAAGAGAGGAGGTGCAGTGAGGATCTCCCGGGAACTCAAGTCCAGAGGTTCTTTAATGGGAAACTTGGCAGGGACCTTTAACGACCACAGCCTTAAGAGAGCAGCCACGGGTGGAAACAGGCGCAGCACAGAGGACCACCTTATGCTGTTGACAGCCCAGCCGCCGTGACAAGTAGCTCATTATGAAATGCACAGATGTTCTGTCTTTGGTATTAGGACTACGCATCATGACTGGAAACAGGAAGGTGAGCAGGAAAAGCTATGTGAATCCATACCGGTCAGATTCAATAATGGAATTCCTATGTTCTTACTAGGGGTATGAATGCATACACCCCTGAATCCTCTCCAGCTGTGGTCCCCCAGATGTTCTCAGACTGCCTCTCGCAGAACATCCTGGCCAGCACAGCTGGTGGTGAAGGTTGCTGGGAGCTGCAGTCCAAGAACATCTGGGGATCCAAGATTGGGAACCCCTGATCAGAAACAGAAGCTGCCAGCCTGGATTTTTAACCAGCAAAGAGCCCCGATTCCACCTGAGTGGCGCTTTGGACCTCCTCACTTGTCTTTGAATCCGTTCAGAAGTGAACGAACTCCCCACCTACCCCAGCTTCGTTTCCCGAATAGATTTTAACACCGAAGCACAACCAGAAGTGAATGAACTCCCCACCTACCTCGTTTCCCGAATAGATTCTAACACCGAAGCACAACACCCTTTGTCCTTCGAAAACTCAAAGTCTCAACTGGGAAAGAGGTCAGGCTTTAAGCCCAGAGAGTGAAAGGTATGTGGAACAGGGGTGGGGTGGAGAATACAATTCTGCCTGCTTCTAGCTGGAGCCTGACGTCGTCGGGAGGGGCCGATGGCACCTCCCCACTGCAAAAACCAAGACTGGAAGAACCCAGACAGAGGCCAAGTGGAGTTTGGACCGTGGAGGGCATCCCGGGACAAAGTCATGCTTCAAACCGTCCTTATCAAGGGAGCCGCTCGGCCCTGCTGGAATGAGGAACAGAGTTTCATTTCATGGGTTGTTCAGAGAAAGCAGGCCAGGTAAGAAGGCTGGGGATAAAGAGATGACACTGAATCTCTTTGCGGTTACATCAGCCGTAATTGGGAGTAACTCAACAAGAGGCTACCTAGAACGAGCATCGGCAGAAGAACCTAACCACATCGAAAGCTGAAACCGCACCTGCATTCCTTCGGAGGTGAGCGAGAGAGTCCAGGGAAATGAACGTGGCTTGGAAAACCCCTCCAAAATGCCGGGAATGGCTTGCTAAGGATTAGAGGAACGCAGAGAGAAAGCGGCAGCTCAGACTTTTTCCTTGCAGCTTTTTCTCCCTCCTCCCTGCCACCCCCACCCCCCTGGAGCCAGGATATCTGTGATTCTAGAAAACAAAGGTGACCATTTCCTCCATGTTGTCAAAAGCGAGAACCAACAGCACTGGGAACAAGGATTCGCAACAAGTTGAACAAAATCAGAAATGATGTAGAAGCATAGAACAGAATCATAGAATCATTTGAGTTGGAGAAGGGGCTTCGAAGGCCATCCAGTCCAACCCCCTTGTCAGGGAAGGAATCCAAATCAAAGCAGATCGGACTGAGGGTGGCCCAATTTCCTTTTGAAGGCTGCCAGTGTTTGAGTGCTCACCGCCTCCCAAGGTCGTGTGTTCCATCAACATACTGCTCTAACAGTTAAGACATTTTTCCTGATATTCAAAGTCTGGCTTCCTGTAGCTTGAGCCCATTCTTATGTGTCCCGCACTCTGGGAGGATCGAGAACAGATCCTGCCCCTCCTCTGTAGGACTGCCATTCAAGTATTCAAAAACTGCTCTCCTATCTCCCCTCCATCTTGGCCTCCCTCAAACAGATGAAAGCTTTGCTTCCTTATAGACAGTGCAAAAGTGCAAGTTGCAACTATGGGTTCACCTTGTTTCACTCCAACAGGTCGTCTGCCATTTTCATAGGTGAGGCTGCACCCAATTTCTACTTAGTGTCTGGAGAATCCACCCAGAATATACCCTGTATCCCAGGGAGGAGGATTTGGGGCTGTGAACTAGAATTTATTGCCTGGTGCTCCTGTTCTTCCAGAGGCAATATTTAACATTCCTGAACCGAGGAAAACAAAGAGATTTTGTTGACCATGACTTGACGCTCCAAACATTTTGTATCGAGCTAAATAAAAACAAAGTAAAACTAAAACTAACATTTGCAAAAGGGGGCACAAGGGGGCAGAAGCCGCCTAGAGTGGTCAAAATGACTAGATAGGCGGGGTATGTATAAATAAATAAATAAATAAATAAATAAATAAATAAATAAATTAATTAATTAATTAATTAATTAAAAAAATCTCTCAAGCAGCTACCCTCAAAATGCCTTGTAATTAAAAAAATATATTGAACGCTCTGGGTTGAGCACAAATGCTTTCCAGAAAGCAGGGGCTTCAAGGCAACCAAGACTCTCGCAGAAGGACTGTCGACCACTTAGCTACCACACTGTTGTCAAGACAGGCACAACCAACACCATTCTGAAAGTGTAGGACAAATGTAAATATCACTATTGCAAATGCCTGTGCCCTGTTTTACTCTGATCCGAATTGAACGCTCTGGGTTGAGCACAAATGCTTTCCAGAAAGCAGGGGCTTCAAGGCAACCAAGACTCTCGCAGAAGGACTGTCGACCACTTAGCTACCACACTGTTGTCAAGACAGGCACAACCAACACCATTCTGAAAGTGTAGGACAAATGTAAATATCACTATTGCAAATGCCTGTGCCCTGTTTTACTCTGATCCGAGTCTCTGAGCCTCGTGATTTGAGCCCTGAAGTATTCAGTAAATTGAAGAGATGGGTTATAATCCAAGCAATTGCATGCAACAATTAATCTCTCAGTATTTTTTAAAAGGTGCTACATTATAGGGTGTGTTTTTAAAGCAATGTGGTGTGCATTTCCTTAACAAACCTAGCTTTTGGGTCAAGTATTTGGGGCAATACTGAATGCTGGGCTGGGTAAACAGGAGTCGCTTTTTCCCCAAAACCGCCCACACAGACCCATATGAAAGGTACCATGACCCATAGATTCCTTCAGACCAGACTGCATACTTCAGAAAAGGCTAAGGAAGGCCAGTACAGAGCTGATGTGCCATATTTCCTTAGACACTGAATGCCATGGGGGTACCATTAAGATTTCATCCTGAGTGGCCATCCGGGACCGGACTTCTATCTTTGGAGATCCTGAGCGCGTGTAGGAGGTGGCCCCGCCTCAGATGATCCAGGGCCTTTGATACATACGGCCTCAAAAACCCAAAGCCCCCCCCACACACACCCTTCAATGAGGGCATACAGGCGTGCCCAACAGCCATGGCGGTTGATGGACGCCCGGCCACACACACACGCAGCCAAGAGTCACCGCTGGCAAGATTTCAGTAGGTTACATTTTACAACGCAATAACTCACCGCTTAAGGCCGATGTTGTATTCTCCAAGGCATGGCACACCGCTAATAAAACCCCTAGAAGGAGGGAAAGAAATCCAGGTTTTAAAAAAATCTATAAACTGTTTATTTGCAAAAAACACTATTTTTAAAACATTGACAAACATTTTCCAGCGTGTTTTGGTATTGTTTTTCCTTCTGAAGCTACGATTGCAAAACATAAAATCTTCCACATTCAGCTCTGCGAGGTGAGCCCTGTTTTATGTCTGTGGGTCGTAAACAGGTATGAATGATCCGTTTCGGGCTGCAGTCCAGCATGGGCCTCACGGACACCAGGATCATTCAAGTAAACAGGCCGAGGATCAGATCCGTGGCTTAAATAATGTCTCATCCGCAAAGGGAGAAGGAAACCCTACATAAGAATTCTGCACAGGCTCAAACGCACCCTGAGGTCAGACAGCGGATCTTAAAACTAACAAAGTCCTAACACAATAGGCAAATTAACTAAAGGGCTACATTCTCCATTTAGAAGGTATTAAGGAATATGGAAGTCCAAAGCAACGGAGGGGCTTAGCCGTCCCTTCTTTAGTGAATTCTCCTTGCTCTTTCTCCCCAGAAGATTCAGGTCACACTGTCAGTTCTACGCGAAAGGAGAGGGTGCCTAACAAGGCCACAGGATGAGGCCCCATGGCAGAGAGCCCAGCCCTGAGCAAGCTGCTCTGGGCTGAGCCGAGCTAAGACTCATAAATACGTCCACAGCATATTTCTCCGGGCGTGACGGGAAAGCCTTAGAAATCCTTTTGCCGACCTCATCTTTGGGATGCGTGCCCACCCTGATTCAAGTGAGGGCAGAGAGATCTGCGTCCCCTCCAGAGAAGCCCCCACCCGCACCCTGCTCAGCCAATGTTTCTGCACCCACAAGAGAGAAACTCTCAGCGTCCTTCACAGAGCAGAGAACGCCACACTCTTTGACCTTTTCGGCCCGTTTGGGTCACAGCAAGCTCTGGACGGGCAATCTCGGGGCGCCAAGGGAGCCAGCCTCCTCCAGAACCAGCAATTTTGTGAGAATTCTTTACCACCATATTTCACAAGCAGTGATATTTGGGAAATCTGAAGACACAAAGCAATATGGCACGAACATCTGGAGGAGTCCCAAAACCACAGGCTACATACAAGGCACCCTTTTCCTGGGATTAGTGACGGGAAGTGGAAGGAATCGCTTGTCATGGCATAAATACATCTATGAGGCTGCCCCACACCAAGATAGCGATCCAGGAGAGGAGACCAAGTGGAGGGGGAAGCGAGGCTTGCATCCAAGGACAAGGGAGCTGCAGCAGAAGGAGCTCAAGGAGGAGGAGCAGGAGACAAATCTGCACACCAGCTGGTTCAAGGGAGGCCCTCCATCCTGATGCAACACACACACACACACACACACACCACAAAGGTGGGGTGAGGGTGTAATTCAAATCAGAAGTCAGGCTCCAGGCGGGAAATGCAACCACAACAGAAGCAAAGGCAGCATGGAAGGAGGCTTAGCCCGGGTGCAAAAGAGCAGTGGTGCTGAACATGCAGAGCTTCCTGGCGGATTGATTCCCAGGAAGTTCAGGCCAGCTGTTCCAGAGACGGGAGAGACCAAAAGCGAGCCAGCCCGGGGGGGGGGGTCCCATGGGCGCTGCATTTTCCCCTTCAAAAGACAAAGAGTCTCCCAAAGCCTTTAACAACAAGAAGAAACGGTTTGGGTTTTTGACATAAAACCTCCTGTAGCCACCCAAAGTATCTTGGCAAGGGGAGCATCCACAGCGGGCTGGCTCAACTATGAAGCCCAACAAGACAGGTCTCTCTGGCGGTGGTTGTTGGAGAGCAGGACGATGGGTACTAGACAGCCTGCCTTCCACCCTCCCCGCAAGCTAGAGCGAAAATACTCATTCAGGTAAATAGGTCTTTCCTGTTTTTACCACATTTTCTTCCTTCAGCCACCTTAGTTATGCATGTCTTCCAAATGAGACATACAATAGACACAGTTGTTTATATTTTGAGAATCATTTCAATGTTCATCAGTCTTCTACCTTGAATAAGCATTTAGTCATACCTTTTTCACAGCTGGAGGGAGCACTGCATCTAGGAATGGAATCAGTATTTCATCTAGTGAGATGCCTAGCTTGCAGTCTGATGGGAAACACTGCCTTATTGCTGTAGATGGAACAAGATGCAACTTGCCCTTTGCCATACGCAGAATTAGGAAGGGGCTCTAACTTGCAAACTCAACACCACGGCTTCATTTAATGAGTCAATCCATCTCACATTCGGCCTTTCTCCTTTCCTGCTGATGTCAACTGCTCCCAGTTTACACACACACTAAGCAAACAGGCCACCAAGAGGTGCTTGTCTGCTGAAAGGTGGGAAGGAGATTTGGTGCAGAGCACCTGATGGATAGCACAATAACACAATACCCAACTGGGTGTGTGTGTGTTCAGGAAGACTCACTGACTGGTGGACGCCAGTTGCATGTCACAACAAAATGGGAGCTTCTCAAAGCCCTGTGTGTACCTTAAAGAGATGCAAACCTCCCAAAAGGTAATGATGTTGTTGAGATTTCTTTTTTCCTGGCCACAGCTTGGCACAGGATTTGAACACTGGTTGGAATATTCGGATGATCAGTGTGCCTGCTGGCGTTCCACCATCGGGTGACCAGGGAAAAAAGTCAGGATTTGCTGGTACAAGTCTGAGACTTCCTCCTGAAATACTTTAACCTTGAGTCAGACGGCTAGGCTGGTATCAGAGGAATGAGGAAGGGCAGCTGCAAAACGCTTTTATGGTTTATTTAGTTTACTAGGTCTACAAACCGCCATTCTCAACACACTTTCCCCTCCCCTCCCCCAAAAAGTGGGAGATAATGGCCGGGGCACAGCCCTACCGTTGACTAGAGTAAAGTGATCACTTCACATGATCTCCTGGCTGTTTCTCCTGAACGTCGCAGCTGTTTTTACTTCCGCCGGAAAACAGAGCGTTCCATGCCGGTCACCTTCTCTGCATGAACCTGGGACAGGAGGACATTTCATCCTTGGCTCCAAACACTGAAGACAAGGGTGCTGGGGTTGCTGATCACCATTGCCCAGATTTCAACCACCCCACAAAGAGTGGGGGACACAACCCTGTCTATGGGCTGCTAAATGACAAGGACTTCCAGAGGTCCTTATGTCTCAAAGAATGGGCTGTGTTCCCTCAAAGCTGACAGGTTTCTCACAGCACACAACCATTTCATGCCAAAACAAAGCCAGCGACGGGGGGGGGGGGGNTTCTCTGTCTCGGCAGATCTGCCACAAGAGTGTCATGCATTCCAAAGTTTTTTGAGCTTCCAGAGCTACCCGAGGGGCAGAAAAACTCGAGGCCAAACTATTCAGTCTACTTAATCAAGGTCCCTCAAGATCCTGACAGGAGCTTGCCTCGTTTAGCTCACAACCTTGCTTTTGTTTTGCAATAGCAGGACTTTGTTGATGGCTCTGGCATGTAGTGCTGAAAGAATTGTGTGTCTGACGGAATAACCTATGCAAGAGGAAGATAGATCCATATGCCTTAAGGTGTACTTTGCTCTTTAAAATGGCAGCCTCTGTGGCCTCCCCTGCCATGCTCAGCTACACGTCAGCTATATAAAAACCTCTCCTCTAGAAAGAGACTCTCCCCATTCCCAAAATGGTGGAAAATGTCATTTTGCCTAGACTGTACCATTTCCATCTCCAGCCACAGATTTCCTGACCTCTCTTCCAGAGGTGCATTCCAATACCTTCGTCCCACCCCAACCCCCTCCGTTACACAGACTAAGCCCTACTGGTTAAGAAAAGCCTCCACAGCCTCAGTGGCCCAGTTTCAACGCAGGCACCAAAGAGGTAAGAGCAGAAAGCGGGCAGTCGCCTCATTCATGAAGCCAGAGGGAGCTGCAGCAGAAGCCAGCCCCTTCGAAGTCTTCCACCGCCTGCACTGATGGGGCCAAATCCCACACGTAAGGTGCATGATTCCAAAAGATCTCGGGACATCTCTGTTCACTCACGACAGAGCTCACAAAATGCCACTACACCCCGACAGACAGTTGGATTACTTATGTAACAAGTCCTTTGCCTTACACTTGGCAGTGATCCTCAACTTATACCAGCCATTAGAGGAACACTGTTCAGGAAGAATACCTAATAAGAGAAAACAGAAGCAAACGGTCCACCAGCAAAAACAGTATCTATGGCAGTTCAGGAGGAATCCTCTACTTTGGGGTTCTACAGGCATTCAGATATTTCTAGAGGCAAAACATCTCCATCTCCCTCTGCTGAAGCCCCTGGTCTAGACCAACTTTTCCCAGGCTGCAGCCCTTCCCTTTAAGGCAAAAAGCATGAAGAGTCTACAGCATTTACAAGACAGGTTGGTAATTCCAGCCAGAGCAGGGCAATCCCTTCAGACATGCACATCTTTCAGTGCTACACGCCAGAGCCATCAATCTTGCCAACAAAGTCCAGTGACCCAGGTTGACTGCCAAGAGAGGCCTCAACCCTTCCACCATCTCTTGCTCGTTCTTCCACCCTGAAACAGGAACACAACACACTTGCGTGAAGAAAGAGAAGTTGGTGTTCAACCCCACCCACCCCCCAAAAGGAGGATGCAGTTTATGCTTCCAGGAAAAGAAAGTAAGACGTGCAGGAAGATGTCACCATTTATTTTCCTAACACTCATCGGTATATTCATTTTTAGGTTGCTGTGATTTCTAAAAGATGGTGCTTCGGTGGCTCTACCCTAGTGAACAGCCCTGGTGGTGACGGTCTATCAGCCCAGCCTTTGAGGGCTGGATCCTGCACTGACCTTTGGCGAAAAGGTCTGCCCAACGTGGACCTCAACATGTGAAAGAACCAAAAAAGCACAGCATGCATTCTGCCCACAGAAGGTACTTAATGCTGTGTTGGTCCTCAGCTATCCAAGAGCTTTTTTTTTTCTGCTTCAGGCTCAGAGACTCATCGCAGCAAAGCGGCAAAAACATACCGGCTTTGAAGGATGCAAGGGCTGATTCAGTAGGAAATGGCTTCCTGCCTTCATACCCAAACCTATTTATTAACAGAAAAACAGGGACATTGTTATGACTAAAGTTTATCCTTCCGCAACTGGTGCCCTCAAGATGTATGCACAGTACCTTTAACTCCTATTGTTCATTGGTTGTCACATCCGGAGAGGATCCAAGTTGGAAGGTTAAGGCCCTGAATCACTCTAAGGCTGTGATTACGACGTGGGGGAAAGACAGTTTGATCCATTGTGATCCAGTTTATCAAATCAAGTTTCCACAGGTGAAATGGCTGTAGATGACCATTTGCAGGACTCAGCAGGGCAGAGGCGGGCAGCTGTGTTTGCTCCAAGGTCCAGCAGCAGAAGCTGCCTTAGACAAGGTGCTAATTGGCAATTTCCACCTTTTTTAAAAGGTTTTCCTAAGTGCCCTAGAGATATTCTGTTCCACCACCGACTTGCAAGCTTTTCTTTTTTAAAAACTGTTTGGGGACAACAGATGTTCATGTGAGGGGAGATGATCTCCCAAACCATATGGGTTTTTGTCAATGTGACAATTTCAAGATTTCTCCTTGTTTTGTCGGAAGTAGCACAGGAGGAGTATAAGGTGAGGGTCATGCTGGCCACGTGGCAACGGAAAATGTCTTCGGACAAGCGCTGACTCTACGGCTTGAAAACGGGGATGAGCACCGCCCCCTAGAGTCGGACACGACTGGACTAAAAATGTCAAGGGGAACCTTTACCTTTTACCTGCCGTGCCCTCAGCTACTCTGTTCCTGGGACATTTCCAGCCCCCACCACCACCCTCACCCAGGTCCACCCCTTAAGCAAGGAAAGTCATGTCATGCAATTCCTTTGATCAAGCTCATGGTGAACTCCCTGTCTGCACCCTGTTCAGGTTTCCCTGGAACGGGTGTTTCCGGAAGCTCTTTGTAGCTTTGAACGCCAAGCTGTGAACGCCTGTTCAAAGGCCTGAAAAGATTGAGCGAGGCACTACAAAGCATTTTAATCTCTGGGTCAACACATGTATTTGTGTGAGGCTGGCTTCTTCCCTGCGGCATCTTTGGGCCACCATGGTCTGCACAGACAAGATGGATCCCTTCCCTACTTTTATCCTCAGCTCCTTTTAGAGAATCAGCCAGAACAAGAATATCCAGAGACACAAGTCTTTGCAACACAAATTCGCTTATTCTTAACACAAACACCCAGAATATTTGACACATACCGCTGAAACCTGCATAGGCAAACACAACCAAACAGGCGTTTGGAAAGGTTGTGCATGACACAGGACTCCTTTCTAGGAGCCAAGGTGGGCTGCAGCTGCTGTAGAGGGAAAGCCCAGGGAAGGCACCGCACCCGACTTGCTTTTTTAGGAGCCGAGAGACATGACTCGATCCTGCAGTGAAGCCCCTGTGAACCCTCTGTAAGAGAAATGAAACACCTGGATAACTCTGCTCGGCATCGGGACCTTTGCTCCCTGGACGTGCTCTCTCTTACACCCTTCTTGGGCCAAAGAAGCAGCGAGCAAAATAAATAAATCCTTCAGGAACCTCTTGGATCCAAGTTAACGTCCACAGCCTGATCCTAGTTTGCTCCGAAGTCTCTGTCACATCGTTCAGGGGTTGAAATTCAGACGTAAGTGACAACCAGGGTGGGCCCATTGAATCAGTGGAACTTACGGAGGAGGGGATGACTCACCAGGTCCCCCACTGATTCAACGAGCCAACGACTCACAACTGGATTTCAGCCAAGGGCATTTAGAGAGTAGGCAGTCCTGACCACTCCATGTCAGGGAGTCAAGTTTTATAGCTTAATGGGAGCACCTCGGGGCCAGGATCACCCATTCTACTTCCATGACTCACTCCCAGCATTTCTTGTTGTAAGTTTTTGAGAAGAAAATATTTGCTGGGGAAGCCTTTGGCAAGCGAATTTACAATGCATTTTCAATGTGATAGAGCAGTGGTTCCCTACCTCGGGTCTCCAGAGGTGTTCTTGGACTACAACTCCCAAAAATCCTAGCCAACACAGCTAGTGGTGAAGGCTTCTGGGAGTTTTAGTCCAAGAACATCTGGGGAGACCCAAGGTTGGAGACCACTGTGATAGAGGTTAGGCATCCAGTCGGCAACCCTGAGCCCTTTGTCATTTGGCCAGTATCCCAGGTGAATCAAGAGTACACCTTAGCCCTGCCTGTCTCCACCTGGTTTGTGTAGCAGAGTGTCATGGGAGTTACAGTTTAATTCATTTGAACAATGCCAGGCTGATGGAGGGCTGCCTTAAACAGTGCAACCCCCCCCACACACACACACTCCCTCCCCTGCCCCAGATAGGCTTTTTATGACCATCGATTACTTGAAGGCAAAGCGTTGTATATACTGAGGAAGAGAAAAGCTGGAGCAAGAGATCATGCTGAGATCAAACCCTGCCATCTGGCTCCTGCCTTCATGGATAATGTGAAACTGCTGGATTTCAAGAAGAGGAACTAAGAAGATAGAAAGATGGAGAGAAGGCTCAGGGAGGGTCAATAGGCAAGTCGACTTTGCTTCCAAACAACAGCAAGAAAAAATGAGTTTACACACTGTACAACAAGTTAATGCAGTGGTGGGAACGTGTGCAATCTACACACACACACACACACACACACGTACAAGTTAACGCAGTGGTGGGAACGTGTGCAATCTTCACACACACACACACACAGAGGAATTCTCTTTTTCTTCTCTAAAGGGCACTGGTGGTCAACAGTGAGGAGGGGAAGAAGGGTTCCCGGCCACTTCTGACCGCACTGCCCAAGAGGAAGCCAGCCAAATCCGGGGCCACCACAAGGCAGAGACTGCCGTGGGGCTCGGCTTTCAACCTCCTTAATGCCTTAAACTTCATCCGGGCAGGCAGGATGTGGAGCCCCTCCACGCCGTGTGTCTTAACAGAACCCACAGAGAACTATAAAGCCACAAGGTAAGGCATTTCACAACACAAGAGCTATTGGCAGAGTTTCAAACATGTTCCACGTGCAGTTTCTTTTTTTAAAACCCAATTTTAAAAATTCCTCCTAACACATCTATCACTTTTTGGCATTGGGGGGAGGAAAAAAAGTTTGATCCAGGCACCCCACCTTTTCAGGGGGTTCAGGGCATAGAAGACCCATTAACCCTAATCATCCTGATAACTCTCAATACACTGGGATTTCCATGGGGTTAGAAAATACCCCACAGGCCACTCTGTCCAAGTTTGCTTCAATCTGCCTGGAGGAGAGTTCAACCTGGAAGATAAGGGCTAAACTTTTACCCCGGCTTGCACTCCTTCTTCCTTCCAACTCTCTTGAACTCTGTCAGCGTCCTGAGCATCGCTCCTCCGCCCCTCTTGGAAGGATCCCCTTGACAGCCATGGCTTGTTCTCAAATCCACCAGCTTAGCGTTGCTGATGATGAACCAAGTTCAATCTCTAGCTCCCCTCCCCTTCCCTTCTGGCAGTCTCAGCCTTTCCTTCTCCAGTTTGATCTTGAACAGAAAGCCCTCCAAATCTCTCCACTGACCACTGGGCTTGTGAGCTCTCCAGATCAGATGCCAGGAAAGGATGCTACACTCTGCTAGCTGACCAGAACCGCCCAAGACGGAACGCCACTTATTTAGCTTGATTGGCTGGTTGTAATAACCTATGTCCTTTCCAGAGACTGCTGCCAACTGACTTGTTCTACTGCAAGTGTATCCCACAGCTGCACAAATCTCACACCTGTGAAGGGATGCCATTGATTTTAGAAGAGGTGTGATGTGCTCTGAAGTGTTTGTTCAATTTCTCCAAGCAGTATTCCTGTAATTATATGGCCGTTTCCATTTCCCTCCCTCCCTCTCCCTCTAAGAAAGAAAGAAAGAAAGAAAGAAAGAAAGAAAGAAAGAAAGAAAGAAAGAAAGAAAGAAAGAAAGAAAGAAAGAAAGAAAGAAAGTTCTAATTACCTAGTCAGAAAACGGCCCTTGTGTGTTCAAAGCCTTTCTGGGCCCTTAAGGGTTAGGGTTACTTAGAGGCAAGCCTAGTCTTTGTTCTAAAAATATGTTTACATGGAAACACAAAGAAAAAAGAGAGCTCAGGTCAAACTACATGCCAGGATCCCTTCTTCAGCCACCAAAGCAAACTTTGCGAGAACAGGAAAAGAGGCGGATAGCAGGGAAAAGAAGCTTAGAAGGCACCTAAAAGTGTGAGGGGGGAAGGGGGGAGAGTGAGGGAGAGGGGGGTGGATGGCGAACCCCCCCCCAGAAGCGGGTGCGCGCACAAGTGGGCTGGTTGGTTGCAGCCGAGAGGGAAGGATGAAGTCACCTGTAACATAATCCCTTTTTCTAAGTTTCCAGTCCTCAGCAAGGAGCCTGAGGAGGGCCTCCTCCCTGCCTTCATTTCGTTCTCCCTTGCATGACGTACCCATCACCCGCTTTAACCTTTCCCTGCTCTAGCGTTTGAAGAACATCGCGGGAGAAATCCGGATTGAAAGCTGCGAGGCGGAACACTGTACATAGCCATAACAGTTTAAATCCCAGCGTTGTTTGGCTAAAATAATTTTAAGAGGAAAATTTCGGGGAAAAAACCACACTACGCCCCGGGCGGGGAGGGCAAGGCAGCATCACGGCGTGTTAGCACCATTCCTGCGCCCAACTCCGCGTCCCCCCCCGCTCCGTGCCTCGGGCCGTGGGCATTAATAAATCAGGTCCGGGGGCGTCGGGGGGAGCCCAGCGCCCCCTCCGCCGCGGGCAGATGAAGCCGGGAGGAGGGAAAGCTTAAGACGCGCCGCGCGACCTCTCGTCCCATCCTAAGCAGATGCGCTCGCCAGGAACTGCCGGCGAGGCGTAACGCCGACCTGAGAGGGGCTCCTCTCGAGTAAACGGGGAGGTGAGGCGAGGAGCCACCCACGGGGCTTTCCGCGCCTCTCCGCCC